CAATTCTGATGTTATTTTTATACAAATTTTAGTTAGTCCTATGCTGAAGAATCTTCTCCATCCTTTACAGAGTTAACAATCTTGTTCTTCATGCAATTTACAGCTTCCTTATAGTGAATTTTTCAGAGAAGCATGCTTGCTAGCTTCTCCCTGCCCTCATTAGCTTATTCTGGTATTACACTGATCTCTGCTCTGCCTCACCCACAAGTTGAGGGATAGGAAGGAGCAACTGCTCCCAGGCATTAACGAGTAGCATTAAGGAGCCTCCCTTTTCCCTCTGGTACTTATCAAGTGACACTGAAATAATTTAGATAAGTATATAACCCTTACCTCACAAAATAATCAGTCAAATATAAACTTCATAACCCTCTGCCAACAAACCCCACAGCTGTGTTAAAATGAGCAATGAAGACTTAATTGCTAGTAATCAATAGAAAGATGTACCTGTAGTATTTTGGATCATCTCTGTCATCATCATAATCTTCTAAGAATTCTTTTAACCGTTTGGCTTCTTTTGCCTGCAAGAAGTTGAAAAATAAGTAATGTTACAGAATAATTTCTGGTTTTCTTTCTAAGAGTTTAAAATTTAATAATATTATTAGTAAGCTTATTTTATATATACTATGTTTCAAACTAAAAATAGAATTTTCCAAACAAAAAATGGAAAGGTTTTAGAATTGCATTATGCTCCAGGGATTTCTCAACTTGCTATCATATGCTCAACAGCAGATGGTACATCCACTAGGTCCACTGGGATCATGGCTATGACCTGCACACTACAACTCTGTTATTAGCATTTCAAAGGTTTTTTAAATATACCCCCTCCCTTTTGTTACATCACAAAAGAAGAGGATCAAAGTTCCTGTTCTTCAAATTCCTAAGTCTGGTATTGGATATTTTAACACGGCAGCTTAAGTGTGTTTCATCAGTGCCATTTTGTTTCAAGAGCCATGCTTTTTAAAAAAATAATTAGTTATGCATAGAAACAAACCTAATGGCTACTTCTAGGATAAGCACTCTTGTGTTACTAATCCAAACCATGTGGCACGGTATCAATGCACAGGCCTAAAACTGAAGGGAGGGAGGAAGGGACTAGAAAAGGAGACATCTTCCCCCCATCTGATAAAACAGAGAAGAAAAAACAAAGAAAATAAGTAGTTCTTTAAGGAGAATATAAATTAGGACATTCTAACTTGTCTATAAGCAATATTCTTAAAAGAACAGCAAGATATTTCAATGCTAATGACTAAGAAACAGATCATAATTTCGGTTGTAAATTCAGCATAGAATTTCACACTGCTCTCTGCAAGTGCAATCCATAGCCAGCATCCAGGAGAATCATGAACAGAAAAATATTTTTGAGTCATTCTCAAACATTTATAGTGAAAAATTAGATTCCACATAAACCAACGTGTTTTCCAGGGGGTTTGGGGTTTTCTTCCCCTTTTTCTTCCCTTTCCTGTGTATCTCTGCATATTCTGCCTTGAAATAATTCCCAATCCATCTCCTATTTAGAACTCTCTCATATTCTCTCTCCTTCTCTAGGAGAATTGTAACGTGAAACAGCACAACCACAATTTAAAGTAAGTTTTGTGTTGAAGCATAAAGAAGTATGAGATTACATAAGCATCTATCTTCCAACAGTGCCTTTTTTTTTTTAACAAAACTTCCAAGCGTTACATGGATAACTGGTAATTTCACAACTAATGAACTAAAGAGACATTTGCAAAACAGATAGATTAGGATATCATGTATTACAGAAGGTACAGGCACATGAGCAGGTTGGAAATAAAAGGACTGGTCTAGTTGTATGTGCACGACATAGAACATAGTAAGCTTTGCTACAAATCTGACACAAATACAGGTTACAGATGTAATACTGCATGATTATCAAACCCCAGTATTTTGCAGCTGCCTACTTCTCATTCTTTTCCCTTCACAAGACCAAGCCACTAGACTTTGCTTTCTAGACGCTCAACTGTACTCCCAGTTATTAGACATTTCTGTTTAAAGTCTATTAACTTTGTTTTGTATAAAAATATATATGATGTTTATATAAAATGAGAGCCCTATCACTGTCTGTAGATAGTAGCAGAAAGTCCCATTCTAAATGGGACCCAAAGAACAAGAAGGGAAAATTACAAGTATAAGCCTTACCATTTCCCTCCTCCTTTCTTCTTCCCTTTCAGCCTCTTTTTCATATTCTCGACTTTTCTTCCGTTCTCTGATTTCCCAGTTTTTAAGACGCTACAACAAAAGAAAAAAACACACACTCCAATTTCAAGCACTTCAAGAACAGTATTACTACTCTGAAGTTAGTTTGGGTTATTGTTTTAAACCAACTTCATTAAAATTAAGCAAATGATTTATTTATAATTTAAAACGCCAGAATAAGAAGTCCAAAGTTGTTGTAACTTACATATTCTGGCCTAGTTCATGCAGTCAACGGATTAAAAATAAATTTAGGAAAAGAGAGGGAGAAAGAATGATGCATTTTATAGAAGAACACTTATTAATCACCACTCGGAAACAATTTTTTCTTAAGGAAACTTAAAATTCCCAACCTACCTCTTGATATGCAGCTTCTTTTTCACGCAGTTTCCTCTCTAATTTTCGGCGCTCATAGGCATCTTCTTCATCCTCTTCACGATCTCTCTTCTTATCTTTCTCCCGTTCCCGTTCCCGCTCACGTTCTCTCTCCCGTTCCCGCTCACGCTCTCTTTCCCGTTCCCGCTCACGTTCTCTCTCCCGTTCCCGTTCTCTTTCCCTGTCTCTGCTTTTTTCTCTGAAGGAAGGAAGTCCAAAGTTAACTACAAGCATCTTCCTCTCCACTCAAATGATTTCACTTCAAATACATAATGCACTGCTTCTAGCATCTTACAAATTATTCTCCTGCAATTGTACAAGATGAATGGCAGATACAGCAATGGGCATAAATCAGTACTTGCAATATACTCAAAACCCCATTTACCTAAAAGTAATTGAGCACCACCATTAAATAGTAGTATCTACAGAAACTAACAGTGAGCACACTACAGTTCTTATCAGACCGTGTTAGTAGTTCTCCATAAATGACAGCTAAAACCCCCACAAATTAAGGGTATGCTTAAAAACATCTTCCATGTTTACATGGCTTACAGGCAACAAGAACCCTACTGACAAGATGATTTAAAGTGAAACACCTATTTTTTCCTATGGTGAAGAGGGTAAAAAGCATTATTTAGAGCTTGACAGATTAGCCACAGTTTAAGACTGAAAGGAATCCCCTACTTTCATTAAAACACACACACACAGACAAAAAAAAACACCCCCCCCCCAAAACCCCAAACAAATTCAAAACCCTAAACAAAACAGCAAAAAAAAAAAAAACACCACCCATCCCTCTTCCCCAATAACAAAGGAATGTACTTAACCTTAAAAACCACACACATAAAAGAACCTCAATTAGGAATAAAGCTACCCATGGTTGCAAGGCCAGGTTGGACAGGACTTTGAGCAACCTGGTCTAGTGGAAGGTGTCGCCGCCCTTGGCAGGGAGCTGGAACCGGATGATCTTTAAGGTCCCCTCTAACCCAAACCTTTCTACGATTCTATGAAAAAGATTTGACATAAAACCACTACGGTTAAGTCACGGTTGGGCAGTTGCTTACGCATATTGCGGTCCTTGCATTCCTGTGCTGTGGAGGCAAACAGGTATTCTTCCAATTTGTGTAAATACACTTTCTAAGATTTTAATTTCCTAGCTTTATGCTGATCTATAAAAAGGACCATTCTCTTGAATGGCAGCTGATCTGCTGGACTATACACACTTAGTAAACAGCACTGAAAAAAACAGAAATAAATACCAACTTGAATGCATTTACCTTGATCTGCTACGATCCTTGTTGCGATCGGAACTCCTTTCACGATCTCTGTCACGGTCTCGGTCACGGTCTCTGTCTCGGTCCTTAGTTCGGTCACGATCCCTATCTCGCTCTCGTTCACGCTCCCGCTCCTTCTCCTTCTCTCGTTCACGCTCCCTCTCTCTTTCACGCTCCCTCCTTTCTCGTTCACGCTCCCGTTCCCTTTCTCTTTCTCTGCGTTCTTTTTCAATTTCCTGTCTTTCTTTCTCCTTTTTGCCTTTTTCCTCCTCCAGTTTCTAAAAACCAACAAGAGAACTTTCATAGTTAATTTTGTAGTTATAGGAACTGGATATTCCCGGCGCAACACACAAGGCAGGTAATGGAAATACCAAAACCGCCACTGATTTTAAAATATTAAATAGGGTTTGGTGGGTATTTTTTGGAACTCGTAAGTATGAAATCAAAATGCAGCAATCACAAGACTAAGTTTCGTGCAAAAGCATAGGTCTACACAGACCAGCAATCTCCAACCTTAGAGTAGGGCTGGCCTCATATTATAAGCTGACTGAACTGCACATTCACAGTGCACTGCAAGTCATGATTCAGGTGGGCCACAAATTCCATTGGCCCTATAAGCCACTTGGGTACAAGCAAAGCGAACTTCTAACTGATAAATTAGTTCTGTTCAACTATGAAAATATATTTCAGTGGAATGCTTACTGGGACAGCGAGTTGTTTCCCAAGAAGACCTGGCAGACCAAAACCATCCTATACGAAAACTTGGGTAAAGAAATTTATCCACTTACACATGGTGCATGTGGTTAAACAGTGAAGAGGACTGCAACCTTTCCCCTTTTCCCCTCCCTAAAAAAAGTTCTAACAGTTCATTGGTAAGAACTGGACTCTGCTGAATGGAATCCTTAACTTCCACCACTGCAAGATGGAGAGAATTACAAAAAAGGTTGGAAATAGCTCTTTTGAAACACAGAAACTAAAGGGTTACCTGCTACAGTTCTACTAAAAATTGTACAAAATTGCCACTTTTTTCAATTAGAAACAGTTCTTATGACCAGAATTCCTATAAGACAATAGAAAATACATCAACAGAATGATAGATAAATCCATCCTTGGAAGCAATTGTTATGTGTTAACTTACAGATGCTGTGCTAGGACATGGACCGCCAACACTGGATTAACCTTGCCTATAAGCTATGTTTCTGGGAGGAAGAGCAAGTACACGGTTCACAAATATACCAAATAACAACCAAATACACCAAATTTCAACCTGATGGATGCCAGAATACCACTTTTTTTGAACAAATATTAAGCAGAATAAACATGTATATCCCCTTTGGCTCCACGTTTACCATCACTGAAATGAAATTAAAAACTGGAACAATGAAACAGTATTTTCTCTGGTTTGTTTGTTTTGGGGTTGTTTTTTTTTTTTCTTTTCTTTTAAACAAAGCATTTAAGACAACTTTAAAAAGCATTCTTACCTGGTAAGTATTCTTCTGCCACAGGCACCAGGGACCAGAGAACCAACAAAGGATTACAGAAATAAAGCTAAATAACTAGTGATTAATGTATCCAGCGAAACTGCATTGCACTGATAGCACTATACAGGCAAACCAATGTTGGATACATTGAAATCACAAAAGAAAAAAGGGACTAAAAATGGTGGGAATTGGTAGAAAACTGATATGAGAAAACCCAAAACTTAGATTCTACAATATACACTGGGCTGAGAACTAATCTCTAAAGGACTGTATTTTACAGGAGCTTTACAGTGTTAAACCTCAGTACGGTCAGATGTTAAACTAGGTTGTCAACTTTCAAAAATCCAACTTACCTCAAATTTCATATACTTTTAAAGAAAAGTTTACATACTGAAGTGGTTGATACTTACAGGTTATCTTAGATGTTCCAATAGAAATTTCTTTGGTTGAACTCCTGCTTTTTTGCCACTCTCAGAAACTTTGTGATGAAATATCAAGAGAGTGTGTTTCTTTTTAACATATTCACACCAGGGTAAATACATACACACAGAGACAAGTCTTGGTGTATTAAAATCCATTTTGTAGGTCCGCTTTCTTAAAATCCAATTGAAAACAAAATAAATTGGTCTATTTTATAATCAAAATCTGACCTCACCAACTTCTATCACCCTAAGAAAGAAGATCTGAAAGGGTAATGGGATGGGAACAGTACCAGATAAATTGAAGTAATGAACAGAAATGAACAGGTAGAAGAATTATAAATCTTACCTTAAGCTCTCTTCAGACTCGTCCGTGCTGTAAATGGACGCCCCCTGCAATGCTGATACCCTGACAGTCTATGGTTATTGTTTTATATACTCATACCAAAAACATGCAAAGGTTCACTGTGCTCATTAGCCAGCTGCTAAAGATTCAACAGCCCCTTTTAAACATATCCAATATACACAATTACTACTTTCAGTTGATTTTGAATGTTAAGAAATCCCAAATAGCCCCCCAAATAATACAGATCAAAGGCAGTAAAATGCCCAACAGCTTCTGAAACAACGAAGCATGTTTTTTGTTTGTTTATTGGCTGTTGTTTGATTTTTTTCCAAAACATTACTTGCTTTCATCTTAGTACCAGTGACAACTTGGGGCTAGGAATCAAACACAATTCTACTGAAGTTTCACCACTGACCAGTTTCACATTCAATTGCTGAGCTTCTCCAGATCATTTCTTCTAGGATTTTTCCCCAGGTTTTTTTATCTCCAACAACTTCAGTCAAGAAAAAAACTGAATACAAATGTACATACAACGTGTAGTCACTTGTGTTTACATTGATACAACTGTGTGAAACCATGGTACCATCCCCAGTGACTGCATGTGGTAAAGCTCAGTAACATGGCATACTTCATTCACCTTGCTGTACTTTCAACATTGATTTGGGGTATTTTGAAATAAAAGCATGCGCTCAAAAGAGGAGCCTGCTGGTAATTCCCTAGGCCAAGGATCATTCCAGTCTTGTTGTGGGGAAAAAGTAATACCAACTTTAAGCTAAACATTGAAATAAGAACATTACATGCATAGTTGTGCTTTGCTATCCACAAGTATCATTTCCCAGAGCAGAAACATTCACAGATGCACTAGCATTAGTGGAAACTTCTGTAAGTGGGAACCCTGAGGTGGGACTTCATGTGCACCAACATTTCCAAGCCAGTTACCCCTTTGCATATTTTTCTGAGGGGGCATCCATAAGTATAATAAAAAACAGAAGCTCATACTTACATCCTATTCCATGTTACTTTCCAAGCTGTGAGTTTCATCTTGCATTAGTCACCATATGATCTCTATCATAATGGTGGGGGTCAATGAATAGATTAGCTTTATGGGAATTTACAGTTCTTCCATGCATCTAAAGTTTGGTAAGTCTGGTAACCACTGACCTAATTTTAATCTTCCCCCACTCTTAACTTAGAACTATTAAAATAAAAGACTTAACTTTAATTCACGTTTCAACTCTTCATAAAATCTTGGATTATGTTACGTATCTACCTACAGAAACACACTCAAGTGTATGTCTTATACTGTAGCCCCATTTAGCCTTTAGTTATAAATATCTTGAATTAATGTATGTGTAGAAACTTTATTCATGTTAAAAGTGAGAAGATTGCAAAATACTCAGTAGCACTCAAAGTCTTAGCATAAAGATGTCAAGGGCCACTTTAACGTGGTAGTTGTCTTTTTTTTTGACTTGCAAAGAACTACATGTATATTAAACCTAAGATAAACATTTTAAGTGATATTGCAATGTACTGCTAAAATTTTTAATAGTGTCTTTTTTGGATTTTGAAAAAGCCTAATTTGTATCAAGTGCAAAAACAAGAATACTACCTTGTGTGTGTCTCTGAATTTACTGATCTCTCTTGATATCAGGTCTCTTTTGTCTTCCTCCATTTCTATAGCATTTATATCCTCCTAAAAAACAAGGGGGACAGGAGGACAAGCATTAAGAGCCATCTGTACAGACACAGGAGAACAAGAGAAAAGCTGAAGGTTAGAAGTTTTCAACCAGTCTTGCAAGAGATAAACAAAGTCCTTCTGCAGTACCAAACCTGACAGGCTGATGTTAATGAGTGAAAAAAAATAAAAAAATCAGATGGACAAGAGTCACAAATCTGGCAACTAGCAGTAAACATAGTCATTTTCAAAGCCTACAATGTAAACGAACCTTGGTGATGAGTGGATAAGGTATCAGTGGGGCCACTGGAAATCTGCGGAAAATCTGCGGAAAAATCCACGGAGATTTTTTTTTTTAAAAATAGATTGCACACTACTCTGAAAAACAATGTTTTGTATGTTTGCACTACAAAGCAATATTGTATTGCTGTGATCTCATTTCTTTGATTCAACAAAATTACAGAAGAACCTCGCTAATTCTCCCTCTCTGAACTACTTAAAATACATAACTGAAGTCTCATATTGGTAAGACTTCACTGAATTACAAGTGTACTACAGGATATTAGTACGCTATGGTAGCAACATAAGACTAAGCTGCACTTGCCAATATAAATGATCAGTGTATTTGCAGTGGGTATGTCTTGATTTTATTTACTCGCTAATTCGCAAAATTTGGTAGATTGCACCTACTAACTAAGTTAGTGCGAATTAGCGAGGTTCCCCCGTGCTTGCAGTTGAAAACCAGATTCCACTCACTCTCAGCTCCCCACACACATTTTCAACTTTCCCCACATCAGTCATGCCTTCATCCAGAACTAACAGACTGCTAACACCAGCGGGAGCCTTCACACCAAGCTCTACAAGGGACAACAGCCCCAAAGCTGGTGAGTTTCCCAAACCCACCCCCACAACGTATCTGTACCCATCTTCACCCCACCCTCCACAGTCCTTCTCTCCCCTCTCCTTTAAGGACAAGAGAGCAATGAGCTAGGACCATTCTCTTCACTCCCACCTGTATCCACACAGGCCAAAGATGGGAATTTCCAAGTTTCTTTTCCTCCTTCCCATCATGGGATGATGATGGGGTGTAATTTCAACCCAAAAGTGCTATATACTTAAAAAGACCAAGTAGACTTATACATCCACTTGACTAGCTCAGATAGGTTAAATTCTACATCATACAGAGCTAAAAGTACATCCCTCTGTCCCAGGGACATACTCAGAACCCAGCTCTTCCAAGACTGCAATGCTCTCTTACAATGTTCAACTACCTGGCATTACTCATGGCCATATATATATACATATATATCTGTACATCTGTACCCACAGGACGATACACATTGTAACAAGGCTTGAAACCAATACAATACAGCTGACAGCATTAGACAGTGACTCATTTGTAAATTCTCATCCAAGAAAGCATCTCCTCCCAAAGGGAGGAAAAGGAAAGATTAAGCTCAGCACTCTTATACCTCAAGTCAGCCATGGCTAAAAATGCTGTAGGGAAGACATACTGGCTCCCTGAGGGAGATGTTGCTTCTTGCACCACACAAACTCCATAAGCAATTGAAACTGCATTATTGCCTTGGAACAGGTACTTTGCAGATGACTTAAGTAGGTAAAAATGTTGGTCAAACAGTTTTCCAATCTCTTTCGTATTAGGTGCAGAATGGTAGGTATGAAAGCCCATTTTCCCATGGTTAGAAACTTGGCTGGAAAGGCTAAGTTTGAGTTTGCTCATTCTTATTCACCCTTCTCCAGTATGCTTTAATCCATAAAAAGGTCATCCACAGAAGCAGGTCTAAATCAGAACATTAGTTCCTGCTCACCAGAGGTTTTTTGCATTATACAATATGTGAAAACCAACTGATCAAATCTAGCCACATTAAAACATGCATGTAAAAGAGACTTTGGTAAGGCAGGAAGATTACAATATGCCTTTCATGCCTGAAAGATCCCTCCAAGGTTTGTGACGTATACATATATATAGCTAATGAAGAACTTCCATATCTGGGGAAGACAGCTGCAACCAGCTGGATCAAGGCACACTACAAGAATAGATACTCTAAGCAGAGAGAAGAATTTTGTCAAAAACTACCAGAGCAAATTCCTGCCATTACCAAAGCACCCTGGCATCTTTCAATAGAAATGGACGGTGCACAGGAACTCTTTACAGTTGTTACTTAAGTTCTCATCTGAAAAACCCTACATACTAAAGTGCATTAAACTTGATATTTCCACCTTCAGAGGGATGAAAGGTTGGTTCAATCCTGCCCAGATTCAAACCTCTTGTTCCAACAAGTCTAGGTGCTTAGATGCCTAAACCATCCTGAAGGGATGGCATCTGTAACTGACTAGCTTTCCACTTATAAAAAAAAATAAATAAAAATGAAACTGCTGCTGACATCAATGCTTGTTGATTTGTTTTCTCATCAGAAGTTTAGGCTTAAAGTATTTGCAAAAGGTTTGGCCATTATATAAGGGTGAGTTGAAGAAAAAAAAAATCTGTTT